GGCATGGATTGGTTATGATCTGAACCATTGAAAAGAACTCCTCAAACCAATGAGATCTCAGATCCATTTGAAAACTGGAATTCTGAAGGCACAGTGCCTTGTACAGAGTAGGAGCTTAAAATAGAATTGAATGCAAAGGTTGCAGCTAAATTTTTTTTGGGGGGGGGGAAAGGAGTTAGGTGATAAAGTGGATAGAGCACCAGGTCTAGCATCAGGAAGACCTGAGTTTAAATCCAGCCTCAGACAGCTTCCTAGCTGTATGACCCTGGGCAAGTCACTTCATCCTGTTTGCCTCAGTTTCCTCATCTGTAAAATGAGCTGGAAAAAGGAAATGACAAACCACTCCAGTATCTTTGCCAAGAAAACCCCAAATGGGGTCACAGACATTCAGATACAACTGAACAGCAACTGCCATAGTTATGAACTAAAGGTTTCTACCTTCAGAACCAGAAAACTTTTCAAGACACTGTTGTCCTTGTACAATGGAGAGCACAATTTTTCCACTTTAAGAGCTTTGCTCTAAATGACTGCCTCCTTTGCTTGTCGACTAAATTGCCTCCCTCTAGTATTGATTCAGGGGCATATATGTGCACAGGGGTGGAAGGCAAAGAGGGAGAATACCTAGTATAGTTTATATTATCCCAGAACCAGTGGGGTTCTGTGTCTCTAACTTTGAGATACAACACTAGTCTGGCCGTACTCCATCTGGTTAGGAAGAGGGCATAGCATAGATGAAGTGTGAGAGAACAGAAATAGATGTACAGGAAAGTAGGTGGTACTGAGACCCAAGACAGAGTCCTGAAAAGAACGTTGCCCTGACAATCAGGAGACATGGGAAGAGGCATCCTCTTTATGGATTCAGAGGATGAGGCTCCCTTAGCCTCTGCTCCTTCCCGTCTTCGATCCGTAGGCCCCTAGGTCGGATTCTGCCGCAGTCTCCCCCAATCCCGAGATCCTAGGCCTGGACACCAGCCTGGTTAGCAGCCAGTGGGACGGCGAGCCATCCATCACTGTCTGGCTTCCAGCCAATCAGACGGGCTGTTGACTTTCAGCCAGCCAATGACCAGAAGATGGCTGGGGGTGGTAGTGGCAGAAACTGGCTCAGTGAGACTATAAAAGAAGGGGAGGGGGAGAGTTCAAAGACTGAGACTCTCTAGTTTGCAGTATCTCTCCCATCATCCATCTATCCATCCTGGCTTTAAGGGGTAGCGGGAAATATGTGGTCTCTTGTTGCCCAGTAGGCGTGGAGTTCACATTTGATAGCGTGCAGGCAGGAACCTTGGTTCGTAATACCCAGTGTTCTAAAGTTCCCTGGTGTCCATCTAATGAGGAGAGAGGGGGAGCACTGAACCCTAGCATTCCCATCGATCTCCGCCCCCCCCCCTTCTCCAGTTGCGACCTTCTTTGGCTCCCACCCAGGGGAGCGGTGGAGAGAGAGTCTGGCCAGGGGAGGGAGTGTTGGGGGCGGGGCGGGAACGGGATTTACAAGGTAGGAAACCAGGGAATAGGAAAAGGAGAGCAGGAAGCCCGGGGCAGCAACCCGGAATTAGCTAATTTGCCTTTCCCGAAAGTCTGTCTTCTGGTAGTTCACCCGCCTGTCCTCTACATCCACATCTCCAGTTCTCTCGCTCTCCTTCTTTCGGCCTGGGGACTCCGGCCCCATGTCACCCACTAATGAGGTCGTCTAAGGAGAGGACTGGTGCCAGCGGCTAGAGCTCTGGGCAGCCAGCCAGCCCGCTGGGCTCTGGGCGCCAGGGAGGAGAGGGATGTTGGGGGAGAAATTCAGCCCTTCCTTTCTCTCCAGAGGAATTTCTGACTTCAAACTTTACACTTTTTTTTAAAACTCCCAGGAATAGTCGCTTCAGCTCCCCAATGCACCCCACCCTTCCTCTGTTCTCTCCTCTTCTCCCATTGGATCTTCTCGCTACACTCCCTTTCTCGGCCCTTCCAATCTGCCTAAGGTGGGCGAAAGAGCTTTCCGGGCAGTGCATACCTCCATCACCTGCAACCCGTACCTCCATCCCCCTGCCACCCACGCCTCCTTCCCGTTTTGCCCTGGCCAGGGAAATTTTTGGACCTCCGCAGCTCTCTTCACCCCTAGTTGGCTCTCAGCTCCTTCCATTCCCGCCCCCACCCCACCCCGCTTCATTCCTGTTCTCATAACTCAATTAACTGAATTATAAGACGTTGGTACCGGATGCCAGGAAGGAACTGTGACCCCTGGCTCGTCCCCTTACTCTTTCTCCTTACTGTTCCCAGCTCTTTGCCTCTTCTCCACCCCACCCACTTTGGGTCAGTCAGTGTGATCCGGTCCTACCCTCCCGCGAAAGACTCGAACCCCTCCCTGCCTTCAGCAGTCTAGGGTAGGAGGGGATGCGGAGCGGGGTGGCGGAGTCGAGTACTGGCTGCGGCAGGGTAACCGCCAAGCTATTTTTGCAAAATTCCTCAATTCTCTGTCTCTGCACTACTCTCTTGGCAGCTAGAACCTGAAATCTGAGTTAATTGCATTAGTCTTTCTCCCTTCCACAGTTGTGAACACGTTGAGTCTATTATTGTTAAGCCCGGTTAAGCTGGGTCGTATTAGACAGACTATAATGATTAGGAGGGTAGGGATGGGGATGGGGGTGGGGGTGGGGGTGGGGGTGGGGGTGGGGGCCGGGATGGAATCTCAGCTGCCAACATTGGCTTATTATTTATTATGACCTGGCGACTAAACCCTGCTTGCAACTCCTAGCAACCAGGGTTTAAGTTGCCTAGGGTCATTAGGGAAGTACCCAAGTTGTACCTAGTGGAGGTGGAGGAGTGAGATGGAGAGGGGACTGAGCCTGCAGTTTTTACTGCTTTGCCATGCTCCAAGTTGCCCTCCAGGTGGTGCTACAGGATTGCAGATGTCTCCCTGGGGGTGGAGCTAAGCATGAGACTGAAAGCTTAGACCTGGTCTAGCTCTGCCTGGAAAGGGGCTGGGCTAGAGACAGAGAACCCAGCACTTCCAAGGAAATGAGCCAATTGGGGCCTGGATGTTAGGCATCCTCAAGAAAGTTCTTAACTTGAATGCAAAGTTTCCAGGTCATGGAAGAAAATAGGAAAACAGATCTCTAGGGTCTACAAACAGGTCTATAGGCACGCTGATTACCTCTAATTTATCTCTTCTACATCTTTTCTGTACATAGTTGTTGCAAGATATCTTCCCCATTAGACTGGGAGCTTCTCTATGGCAGGGACTGTTCTCTACCTTTATACCCCCAGGGCTTAGCACAGTGCCTGACATGTAGTAGGCAATTAGTAAATGCTTTGTTCAACATCGTCTTAAAGAGGAGGAAAACAGAACCCAGAGAGATGATTTGAATTTCCCTTTGGTTGTACAGATTAAACGGCAGTTAGAATTTGATTGAGTGGGGTTTTTTTTTTCCTGGCTAGGCAATGGGGTTAAGTGACTTGCCCAGGGTCAGACAGCTAGTAAGTGTCAAGTGTTTGGTCTGAGGCCGGATATGAACTCAGGTCCTCCTGACTTCAGGGCCGGTGCTCTATCCAATGGGCCACCTAGCTGCCCCAGCACTAGTTTTTTTTGGTTTGGTTTTTTTTTTTTTTTTTGGTGAGGCAACTGGGTGACTTGCCCAGAGTCACACAGCTAGTGAGTGTTGTGTTTGATGCCGGATTTGAACTCAGGTCCTCTGGACTCCATGCCTGGTACTTGATTCACTGTACCACCTAGCTGCCCTGGCAGTTAGAATTTGAACCCAGAACCTGTGACTCCAAATCCAGTGATCTTTAAGTGACCCTAAAGAAGGGGGCATGATGGTATTGTAGAAGAGCAAGCACAGCACAGGGCACTGAGCACAGGTTTGAATCCTGCCTCAGACATTTACTCTGTCACCCTCTCTAATCCTGTTTCCTCATGTGTAAGATGAGATAATGGTAGCATTACACAGGATTGTTATGAGGATCAAACGAGATAATATATGGAAAATTCTGTAGGTGCTGTGTAAACATTAGCTATTATTATATTTCAGAGGGATGCTTGCTCATCTTGGACTAGATCTTGGGGTCCCTTCTAGCTCTGAAGGCCAGATGACTTTGAGCCTGTAGTACCTGAGAAAACCCCTGGAATGGAAGAAGGGTCTCCCTTTCTCCTCCCTTTCCAGAATGCACCTGGGATTCTTTTGCTTCCTCCCCGTGCACCTGCCCAACCTGAAAACAGGTGTGTTCTTGTAATCTGTTTGGGTAGGTGTTTGGTCACATATTTGTGGTGAGCAGTCTTCCCTGCTTCCTCCCAACTCTTTCTCAAAGTTGCAAATCTCCCTTTTTCAGCATATAAACACAGTATTGTTGTTTAGTCTTTTCAGTCGTGTCTGACTCTTCATGACCCCTTTTGGAGTTTTCTTGGCAAAGATACTGGAGCAGTTTGCCATTTCCTTCCCCAGCTCATTTTACAGATGAGGAACTGAAGCAACCAGGGTTAAGTGACTTGCCTAGGGTCACACAGATAGTAAGTATCTGAGGCCAGATTTGAACTAGGAAGATGAGTCTTCCTGACTGCAGGCTCAGCACTCTATCCATGGTACCACCCAGCCCCATAAACACAGTATACTTGTGCACGCATGTGGCTGGCCTGAAGATGATGACTAGGTTGAAGAACTCTCTCAAGTCCAGACTGGGGATCATGAAAGGATTGGTGAGAACCAGATAGGGCAAGAAAAGACAAATGATGATGGCTGGTCCACAGTTGGTAGGAACCTCTGGAGGATTGGAGAAAAGCAGGAAAAAGTGAGTGACCAAGATCTTTAGTAAAGCTACTCACCATGTGCTGGCAAACACAACACATGACCAGCTTCCCTCCTCCCCCTTATTCTCTCATGTTGCACATGATCCATCCTCATAGTCACACGCAAACACAAGTTCACATACTCTGATGGGACGGCACAGAGGCACATACTGTCTATGCACCAGTCTCATACAGACAGACACACAACCTCCTGAGTCAAGAGAAATGGGAAACCTCAGACAGGAGACAAAAGTTGTTTTATTGCAGTCCTCAGTGCCTGGTGTCAGGTCCCAGACAGGAGACAAATTAAGGAGGCCGATCTTGGTTGCCTTGGGGAGCCGGCAGGAGAAGGGATGACTGACTGAACCATAAGGGTGGTCTCAAAGTGAAACAGGCTGTGGGGGGTAATGGGTTCCCTATCACTGGAAGTCTTCAGGTGGAGGCTGGTTCAAGTGGAGGCTGGTTGTGCCCTTCAGGATACTGCAGAGGGAATGACTGTTTGGATGTCTGGATACAAAATCCCTTTCGGCTCTGCGATTTTATGACTCAAAGAATAGGGTCCCCTCTGGTCAATGCATCAGAGGTCGAGAACTCAAGTTCTGCATTAGTATTAGGAGGAGGCCTGGGGAGGGTAAAAGGGAGGGACCCTCTTGTCTCTCTGTGTCCTCAGCATTTTACAGAACTGAGGAAGTGGTCCATGGAGCAGGCAGGCAGATTTGGCTCCTGTGGTTTTCACTTTAGTAAAGACCACTTAATTTGCTCCTTGGCAGACTGTAGAACCTATTTAGGTGGGGGTGGGGTGGGGGGAGAGAGAGAGAGAGAACAGGAGGAGAGAGAAGGAAAGTCAGTGACGCTGCGTCCCAAGGACTCTCTGAACTAGGTGAGAGGGTTGCCACAGGGCTGGCACTCAGCCACTAGGTGGCAATAGTATTCCTCTACCTGGCGGGGGGAGGGAGGAGGGAGAGTGCATTTGGGGAGTTCGAACTCTGGCTTTCTAGTCTTGGTCAGGACCCAACAACTAACACACCCATCCCCAATCCTGCCTGGCAGCCCAAAGTTCTCTGCCATCGGCTGACACGTGGGCAAAGGGAGTGGCACTCATGTCTCCCCCAGCCCCCTCCACTGGTCCCACCCATGCTGATGCCGGAGCCACGTCCAAGCCCGGAGGCGAAGATAGAAGATAGAGCTCCAGTGTCCCCCCACTCCCAGGGCCCCCCCGGGGGCCCAGGGCTACTGTCACCCTGTCCAGGCAGTCTGAACTTTATCCTCCGGGGAAGGGTCCCCAAGCCAGAGGTGGTACAGCTTGGATGCTGATGGCCCATCCCCACCCCATCCCCCTAGCACACCCAAAGACAAACACAGAGGTATACAGAACTCTACATGGTCCTGGGACTTGTGGAGACAGGCCTCTCCTTCCTTTACACACACACAAGGATACGCTCAGACACACCTGACACTACCCACCAGCTGAGCAATTTACCTCTCCCTACATAACGAAGCTGTGTCCCCACAGGTCTGGGCAGTGGACATACCCTCCAGCATCGGCCCCAGAGGCATTAACCCCCCTCACCCTTTACTTTTCTCCTCTCTTCTTCAGAGACAGGCACTGAGCCAGAGGCTGAATGTGGGGTTTTCCAGCATGTCCCCATCTGGAACCCAACTCCCTCATTTCAGTCTCTTATCAATCCTTTCCCCAGGGATCCCCCTCACTGAAGGAGCTAGCTCCTCTCCATCCCCTCCTGGTGACAGCTAGTGATCTGGGCATTTGGGAGCTGTGCTAAGTGACCACCTTCTAGCCTTTGTCCACCCCCAAATCTATCGATGCAGCTGGCTCTGCCTAGCTGGAGTGTGAGGAGGCAAGACAAGTAGTTAGCCCAGATAAGCCAGAGCTAGGGTAACCTGTTACAAGCTGCAATAGGAAACGTGGGTACCAAACCTGGGGCCCAGTGCAAGAGATAGAATGAACACGAGCGAGTCCTCTGGCCTCAGCTACGGTCTGGGGGAAGAATGTCTGTTAGTTAGTGAATGCCTGGAGCAGGGAGCTTCATGCAAACAGGATTAGTCTGGGCAGAAGGACCTGTGGGGGTGGATAAGTAGAGGAAAGACAGACAGATAAGCAGGAAGTTTGTGTAGCTGGAAACCAGATGGGACCAAAGCTGGGGGAGCCCCACCTCCCCCCCAGGCATGGTCTTACAGAGGATGTGGCAAGTGTGGCTTCTGCTACAGACTGCCCTAGAAGAGCCTGGTGTCATGGGTTTAAGGGTGAATGGCAATAAAGAGTTGGTGGGGGAAGGATGGGGAGCAGTATAAATCCTTCTACAGGGTCCAAAAGTTCCTAGCCATAGCCAGGAACTCCAAGGGGGAATGGAGGGGAGGGTGGGGTTCTTTTTCCCCTTCTTCAATCAAAAGGGGAGAAGGGAGTAAAGGCCTCTTTTTGGAAGCTTGGGAAGGATGAGATCAACTGATGAGGTCAAGTTCTTATCCTTCTGGGGATCCCAGGAGTCTTCTGTTGCATTCTTTCTTCCCAGGACTGTTCATCTTTGCCCCCTCCCTCCTTCAAGTTTCTGGGCCTGCCCCTCTTTGCCCTCCCCTTCCTCAAGCTATCCCTTGAAATACTCTTCCCACCTCAGATTCCAGGTTCCAGGGTGCCTACCTGGGCCACACTCTGCTCAGACAGGCTGCTGTCATCGACCTGTGAAGAAGCAAAGCGAGTGTTGGAGGGAGCCATTAGAAAGAGTGGGGCATGGCAGGGGGCACGAACACAGGACAGAAGACCAGAGCAGAGGCACAGGAAAGGGGGCATGGTGGAATGGTGGGGGGTATGGGGGATCCAGGGGCACCTATCTCACACCCAAGTTAAACTCTGAGATGGTGCTGTGGCAACCAGGACCCTGTATTTCTCCTGATGTTTAAGGGAATGAGTGAGGGAGGAAATCTCATCCAACTATGAAGGAAACTAGACTAGGACGAATGACTTTCAAGGCCAAGGCAACCAGGATTTTAGGATCCTGGAACTCTAAAAAGGACCTAAGAGATCATCTACTCTCACTTTATGGATAATATAATTATCCTCCCCTACAAAGAGCCCTTGGGCAGCTAGGTGGTGCCCTGGATAGAGCACCAGGCCTGCAGACAGGCACTCGTCTTTCAGAGTTCAAATCTGGCCTCAGACACTTCCTAGCTGCGTGACCCTGGGCAAGTCACTTCACCCTGTTTGCTTCAGTTTCCTCATCTGTAAAATGAGCTGGAGAAGGAAATGGCAAATCACTCCAGTATCTCTGCCAAGAAAACCCCAAATGGGGTCACAGAGAATTGGACAGGACTGAAAGCAATTAAACAACAACTACAACAACATAGATCCTTAAGCTTTAACACATTCTTTTCTCAAACAATCCTCTGAGATGATTAGCAAAAGTATTATTATTTTATACCCATTTTATAGATGGGCAGTGTCAAACTCAAGTAGAAAATGGGGCTATTTAGGGGAAGCTAGGATGGAGCACTGGCCCTGGAGTAAGGAAGACTTCAGTTCAAATCTGGCCTCAGACATTAGCTGTATAACTCTGGGCAAGTAATTTAACCCTGACTGCCTCCCAAAGAAAAAGAAAAGGGGGCCACTCATCTGTGCATAAGGATCCCTGCAGGCTGCATATCAACTTAGTTTTAAAATATAATATTATTTACATTTTATTGTATTTTTATTTATTGTGTTAAGTATTTCCCAATTTCTTTTTTCTCTGGTTCCTACTCTGGCCTAACTGTGACCTGCCACATGTTTTGATATCTCTGCTGTAGACCCAAATCCAGCGGATTTCCTATTATAACTCACTGATTTTCTTAGAGGACATGGTTTTTACACCTCTTTGGCAAAGAGTGCTTCCTCCCAGTAGGAGGACCAAGTGCTTAGAGATCTAAAGGGGCTGGGGTTAGTGGGTAGTAGCTGTGCCAGGTGGAGGGGTGAGGTTTAAAGAGGCAAAGATCTTTCACTTATTACAGCTTCCCCACTTTTCTTTCTAGGAAACCTGCCCTTTTCTCTGTTCAGTTCCTGGCAGCCCCAAATCCAACCAACCCTTGAGGGCCAGGTCAAGGAACAGACAGGTCTCTCCAGAATAAGGTCTTTGGAAGACCCCAGCCTCCCAGGTCTTGGGTACTCCAGTATCCAATTAGGAGAGAAAAAAGAGAAGTTTCCAGCCAACCCTTCCTGCTACCCTGTGCCTCAGGCTAGGACAAAGATGGGGAGCAGAGACCCTTACCCTGAAGTTCACTTTCTGGATCACCTGCTGGGGATCATTCTCCAGAATTACACTAAAAATAAAACAACCAGATGGAAAGGGTGCAAAATTAGTTATCTTCCCAATTTCCTTTCTACTAAGCATCCCTTGAGACCAGAGACTGACCTGCTTTTCTGTCTGTGTCCTCAGCACTAACACAGTGTTTTGCATGTAAGTTGTTCATAAATGTTCTTCCTTCCTCTCTCCCTCTCTTCTATCTTTCTTTTTCCCTTCCCTTCCTTGTTTTTTCCTCTCTCCCTCCCTTCCTTCCTTTTTCTTTCTTCCTTTCCTTCCTCCCTCCCTCCCTTCCTTCCTTGCTTCTCAAAACCCAGGTGAACACTCATTAACTCCTGGAAGCCTTCCCTGACTTATTTGAATTGGATTGCCCTTTTCCTTTAAATCCCTCCTCCCACCCCCATCCTGGCCCAGCATTTAGGCCTGCGGTACTACACAATAAAACTTCATTCATTCGGATCCTATGAATTTGGATGTGGCACTAACAATTCACACACTGTGACTGCTATTGAGTCATGAATGATAGCTAAGTGCTCTATACACACTAGCTCAGTAGAAGTACAACAACCCTGGCAGTGGTAGCTAGGATATTATTATATTATATATTACTAGTAGATGTAGTATCTGGGACACCATTCCCATTTTCATCTTACAGAGGAGGAAACTGAGGTTCAGAGAAGTTAAGGTTCATGGTCCTACAGTCAGGGTCAGAAGCAGGATTTGAACTCAGTCTTCCTGACTTCAAATTTAGCACCCTATGGTACACCATGCTGCCTGTAGGGTAGAAATATCACAATTTTTAGAATAGTGGGTAGAGGCAATCCAATCTCAAATGCATAGCTTTTTAAAGCTACAAAATTAAAAACTCTTTCATAATTATGCCTTCAACCTCTATAGGCAGCTAGGTAACACAGTAGATAGAGCATTAGGCCCGAATTCAGGAAGATATGAGTTCAAATCCAGCCTCAGATAATTACTAGTCACTTCATCTCTCTTTGCCTCAGTTTCTTCCACTGTAAAATGGAGAATAATAATGGGATGGATAGGAGGATAATAATAGCACCTACCTCCCAGGGTTGTTGTGAGGATCAAATGAGATAATTGTTGTAAAATGCTTAGTACAGTGCCTGGCAGACAGTAGGTGATTAATAAATAGTTATTCCCCTCCCCCACCCCTCGGCCCAGTACTAAACTCCTGCACTTGAAAGTGCTCTGATGTTTAGGGAACATTCTTAGATAATTAAGTCCCATTGTGAAATGTAATTTTTTCCATCCATCTTCCTCATTTTACTTATGAACATCCTACTTTTGTCTTCAGTTTTAATATGCACCATTTTTGAAAGTATGACATGTTTAATCATTTAATTTTTAAAATAATTTTTGATCATGCCATAATCCAAAGAGGCAGCTTGGTTTCACGGATAGAGATCAGGCCTCAGAGTCAAAAAGACCTGGATTCCAGTCCTGCTTCTGACATATGCCAGTTGTATGACCCTGGGCCAGTCACTTAATTTTTCAGTTTCCCCAGGTGACTCTCTCGAACTAGAAAATGTAGAGCAGATGCCATCAGCATTAATCTAGGGAATTTCCTCATTTGGAGTGCCCTGTACCCGTGAAATCACTGGCCCTATCTAAAAAACTTAAAGGAGTCAGACAGGCCTTTCTCTGAGGTTTTACTCTGTTCATTTATATTTGTCTGAATGTCAGGTCTGACACTTACTAGTTGTGTGATCTTGGTTGAGTCACCTAACTTATTTGGGTTTTTGTTTCCTCATCTGTGACATAATGGATATGGAGTCAGGAAGACCTGGGTTCAAGTCTCACTTTAGACACTAGCTGTGTGACACTCAGCAAATCAATTTCTCTGTGCCTCAGTTTCTTCATCTGTAAAGTGAAAATATCAGACTCTATGGTCTATAAGGTTTTTCCAGCTCTAAATCTATGTTCCTGTGATCCCTATGATCTCACAGTGTTGTAAGGTAAGTGCTTTGTAACCTCAAGACACTATAGTAATATGAGTTATTTTCTTTATATAAATGAGAGTCATTGTTATTTGTTTTTACTTTGCTTTATTGTGCTCTTAAATAATTTGTGTAAGGGTTTGTGTACATTGTGTCCGTCTTTCTTTTTTTCCTTTTTTTCTATTTTTTAGGCAACTGTGATTAAGTGACTTGCCCAGGGTCACATAGCTAATATGTGTCAAGTGTTTGGTCTAAGGCCAGATTTGAACTCAGGTTCGCCTGACTTCAGGGCCGGTGCTCTATCCACTGCACCACCTAGCTGCCCTATGTGTCCATCTTTCTATGCAGCTTGGGTGGTACTATTTTCCCCCATCAGTCTCCTTAAAAGCTGGGAGTGCATCTATTTCCTCTCATAATGTCCAGCCCTGAACTCTGTCCAGGGTTCAGTCTGACAGCGGGGTATCCCCAGTGACCTTTCAGGGAGCTCAGGTCAGTTTTCTTTGATTACTCTGTCCTGATTTCATAGTAAATCTCCGAAGGTATTCCACTCCTACCTGGTAAAAAAAAAAAAAAAAAAAAGCAAGGATTTTCCTAGTACCAAAGCACCTCATTCTCTCCTGGACATTCTCTTGTAGAAATCCACCTCTTGATCAAATACCCCTCCTCTTTTTCCAAGAAAGGCTGGGGCTTCAAGGAGAAATTAGCTCTACTCTGCATTACAGAACTGTCTGGTATTCTCCCTATAGACACTGAGATTTTTCTGGGGGAGTGAGAAGAGTCTGTGTATAGAGTATTTTATACTGTATAAAAGGCCAAGGACATTAATGGCCACTTCCCAATTATACACCAATGTTGGGTGGGCACAATTTAGATAATAGTAGATAATCAAAAAGTCATTTTTATTCAATAGTCTAGTCTATGTGTTTTCATCAGGTCTAACTTCCTAACTCTGTTTGGCCTTGGCTAATATTAAAATTAGACTGAATTCTCCAAGCTCTCACTAAGTAGTGCAAGAAAGTGAATGGAGCCCATGCTGCACATAAGGAAGAAGCTGACCTAGGATTTACAAATAACATGTACTGTGGAAAATGGAGAATGATCCATATTGGTCTAGTTGTATTTTTAAATCATGATAACTCACATTTATATAGATTTGGAAGAGGGAGGAGACAGACAAATGATTTTACCTATGTAAGGAATTCATGGTGGGGAAAGTCCTTCTACCAAAGCAGCTCAACAATTTATTGGCAATTGATTATCTTAGGGTTGCTTGGAGCCCTGAGAAGTTAAGTCAATGGCTCATGGCCACCCAGTTAGTGTGTGTTAGAAGCAGGAACTAAGCCCAGGTCTTTCTGACTTCAAGGTTGGCCCTCTATTCACAGGCTGCCTCTCACACAGAATGTTAAGTCTACAAAGTATTTTCTTCACATTCACACCCTTTGTGAAAGTGGTAGCTCAGAACCTTATCTAGATGGCACTATATGAATGTCCCTGACAATTCCTGTTGAATGTCCACAGTGGCCCTCTTTCCCACCCATTCCCTTCTTACCCGCCATCCACGATCTCGTCCACCACCAAGAAGGCTCCGTCCATGTTCTCCACCAACGAGCGTTTCTCTATGTTCCTCCTGAAGGTATACCCAGTCATCTGAGCTACCACCTGCTTCTGGCAGGAGACCATGGGGTCCCCCAACAATTACCCTCTCCCATAAAACATAAAGGAACTCAGGGGTTGGGGGGGTATGGTGGGAGGGAGAATGAGGAACATGTCTAAGTGTCCCTGATCCTGTGGTAGGACTTCCATTATCTACCCTACCCCTCACTCACCCAACCCTTCACTTAAGGCAGCAATATCACATCAAAGGACCTAACGGGTCAAAGTCCATGATGGCCACATCTTCTAAATGGTCATATCCTCATGGGTCAAGGGGGTAGGAATGAGAACTAGAGAAAGAGGGAGGGCTCTCTTCCCAGTTCTGAGGAGGCTGAGGCTGGGGGAGTATAAGAAGGCACCTCCTTGGTGTAGAAGGTGTCTGGAGGATGAGAGTTTTCAGGGCTCAGGGGAATGGCTCAACTCTGGGGCAATGGGTATCACTTACCGTAATACGTGGTTCAGGGAGTCAAACAGGCAGGTGAGGACTGACATGAGCATCAGCTGGTGGGATAGCAGGAGGGAGAAAAGAAAAAGAGACTGGACCCAGTAAGGCCAAAGAGAGAGTTCAAAAACAATACTAGATGCCTGGGGGTAAGTGGTTTTTCCATTCCCAAGAGGTATTGGGATGGCCCTTGAAGTAGGCAGACTTTAGTGGGGAAGTGAATGGCTTCACATCTGAGTGAAGCTGGGTCACAGTGTGAAAAGAGATCATGGAATCTCCTTTTGTTGAGTCAAGAAAAGGATGAATGGCTAACAGAGATAAGTCAAGCCTCATTTCACCTGGAGATAGTAGCATGGATGAGATGAGTTTTCAAGGTCTCTTTTGGATCAAGGATTTTCCTAGGGTGGTAGGCTGGATCACTATGCCCCATGAAGAAAATCAATACTCAGCTCACCAAATCCTCAGAGTGGCCCCCCCCAACCCATCCCAACCCTCTTCCCAGACTTTTCATTGGTCCCCACTGTCTCCCCCAGGCCCTTGTGTTCACCTCATTCTCCTGGGATGAGCCTACCACATACAGGAAAAGGTCGATGCTGCTCTTGTAGACAACGGTCATGCCCCCAAAAAAGGCAATCTCACCTGGAAAGATGTGAGGAGGGAAGAAAGGGAGGACATTCAGGCTCCCTCCCTTTGGCTTCATGTTTCCCCTGCCTTCTAGCCTCAGTTGGCCCAGCCATGTCTTACTCATCCCCATCTCTGCAGCAACTTGAGATCAGGGTCCATCCTTTGTCTTTCTTTGTATCTGAAGTGCTTAGCATAAACAGTTATCCCTTCCACACATCACAGGAATTAGGAGCATGGGGAGCCCCGAGAGCTGGAAAATCTGAGTAAAGTTTTTAGGCTCTCCCTTCGCACCAGAGAAGTCTGAATTTTTTCTTTTTCTTTTATGGAGTGTTTACAGTACCTTATTGTAAAATTTGGGTTGATATTATATGGTATTATACATACATTCTATGAATTTCTGAGTTTCTAAACTTTTTCTGTTTCCTCTGCTGGCCTTCAAGTATTATCTGTGACTTCCACAAAAGTCCCCAAAAATTCCCATTTAATTTCTTATGCTGACCCTGTGATATAAGAAACCTCAATGGGGAAAGTTGCGATATGGAAGGGATCGCTGTAGTAGGTACTTAATAAATATTTATTGATTGACTGACTGCACATTTCCCACAACTTCCTTTCTTTTCCTCTATGGAGCTCAAACACATTTTCCTAGGCTGGGTCAGGGAGACTTTCATGAAGGCAAGAATGCAAGCCTACAGCCTAGAGATATATTATGGGTGAGGCAATCTACTGTTTAAAGTTTTCATAGAAAGGAGACTTGACTCATTGAAAGTTAGGCTAAACATAATTTCTGCCCTCAGAGAACTCCAAGCTAGAGGAAGCCAGGAGGGAGGGAGAATGGAACCCAAGCATTTAGAGGAACAAGGGCAGACCTCTAGATACTAGTCTTGAGGTAATAAGAAAGCAAGGGTGTTGAGTGGGTCAGGAAGGCTTCTCTTAAGAGGCAAATGGGAGGGATGTGGGAAGAAGGGCAGAAGGAAGGGAAGGAGGGTCAGAGTCAGACAGCAATCACCCCAAGTAAAAGAAATGTCCTGTATGAAGTCTCAGAGGTGGGAAAGGAAGTGCAGAGGAGCCAGGGTCAAATTTTGTCTGGTTGGAGGGCAGAGTTTGGGGATGGGGAGTGAAGCTGAAGTGGGTTAAGTTGGGGGACAACAATGGAAACTCAATCACTTACTGTCGGTCCTATTGGTCTTGTTGAAGACATTTTTCTCAAAGGCTTTCTGCTCCTTTATGGAGGGGAATGTGTCATCATAATACTAGAGAAAAGGGAGGAGAAGACATGACCACAGTGTGGGGTAGTGGGACCTGGACATTAAATGAATGTGGCTGAGCAGCAGGCTGGACTCTCAGAGCTACCTCCCTGCAAAGGCCCCCCTCTTATTTGCTCCCCAGGTCCCTAGGGTCTGCCTTGAGCATACACATTCAGCACCACCCCACCCCATCGAGGCCAATTCCAAACAAAAAGATTATAAAAAGAAAAGTATTTATTTTTCAAGCCTGCTAACTGTCTTCTTTTAGAAACAGCTGGAGGTCAGTCAGCTATCTGGTTTTCTCTTAACTGTCCTGCACATTTGCTTCAAGGCCTTAATATGTCAATAGACTACATCAGGGGAACAATCACCCCACCACTGGTCTTCCCACTGGTTTTGCTTTAGAATTTGTTTAGAGTCATTTTTTTTACAGGTATTTGGAGGGGTTTCCTTCCCACTGGTTTTGGTCCAAAAAAGGTGGTTTAGCCAGAGTCCTGCCTAATTTAAGGAACTCCTTTTGCAGAGAATTTTTCCAGAGGCAAATCTCACCCAAGTTTTCAGGGTCTGTGATAATTACTGGGGCCCCAAATAGAATGAAGAATAAAACATTCCAGCTCTAGAACCTAGTGTTTGGGGCCCTGCCTCCTATACTTTACTAGTTTCATGACCTTGGCCAAATCACCTCCTCACTTAGTATCCTTATCAGTAAAACGGAGGGGTTGGGCTAGCTGATCTCAAAGGTCCCTTCCAGATCTGATATTTGGTGACAGTGAGCTGCTTTAGCTATTCTGGAGAGGAAGCTACCCAGTGGGGCAGTGAGGCACCAGGCTGGGCGCTTTGTACAACGTCCCCCTTGCCTTTCTTCAAGCTGTGGCCTGAGCTTTGGACCACTACCTGATAGCTTATATGATGTTTCTGGGAGGACCAATAGCCTGGAATGCTTGGGATCAGGTGTTCACTTAATGACCTGGGATGAGGAAAAAACCTTGGCCAAAGAGACCAAAACTCTATTTTTTTTCTTTTAATCAAAGTCAAAGAGACTTGAGCTCTATTTCCCAGCATGCGGTATTGTATGAACTTACAATGTCATTTCTAGGTTCACTATTTTTTAACATGGAGATTTGTGCAGTCAGATGATAAATGAAATGACAGTGATGAAAAGCACTTTTCCCAGAAAGGAACTATAGAAAAATGTGGTATTTTCCATGTCTGTGTAGAACTTTAAATCCCAGGTCAGTTCAAAGGACCTGGGTATAAATCCAGTCTCTGACACTTACTAGCTGTGTGCCACTGACAAGTTATTTCATCTCCTCTGGGCTTCTGTTTCCACTTTTTTAAAATGATGGGGCTATACTAGCTGGACCCTTTTGTCTCTAAATCCTATGACCCTATGATTTGTTCTCAGCTATATAGGACTAGGCACAATTGAGTCTCAATTAACTGCATGTACATCTGACTTGTGGATTTTCTATAAATACGGTACTGGGTCTATGGACTAGCTGCCTCTCTCCCTCCCAGAAGAATGCTCTGGGGGCATTGTCTGCTTGGGAGTATAAATCCATTTGAATATTATGAAAAGTAAAGTATAGTTTTTTAAAAATCCAAAAATTCTCTCCAAACTCCAGAGTGAGCAATTTGGAGGTTACGAACCCTGCTAAGTGAGACAACTATAATTAACATAATTTATTTTTTTCTAGCTAGGTCATGATTCCCCTCTACCAAGAAACACATAATGGAGACTTGATTGAGAGGTAGTGTAGCAAAGTAGATAAAGCAGATTAGTGATCAGGAGACCTGAGTTCTAATCCTGCTTCTGTCACTTTGGGCAAGTTACCTCCCCTCTCTAGGCCTTTGGTCCCTTGTCTGTCAAATGCAGGGGGATGGACCACATAATTTCTAAACTGCCTTCTAGTTTTGACATTCTGTGATATTATGGCTGTTTGCTAAGTTGCAGATAATGAAGAGCGCTTAGTTGCTAGATTTGGGGCAACTGAGTTCTATTTATTTGTGTCCTTACTTCTAAATCCTTAGAAGGCTGAATATGATGTCCCTTCATTTTCTTGGGATCCATCTGGCCAGTGGAAAGGGTAGAGAAAAATCAGATTCTCCTCAAGAAGATGCTGCAGGGTGAAGACAACTCCTTTTCTATACTACATGCAACCCAAACTAAAAATCTGAAAGTAGCAGGGAGGGTAGACCTCTCATAGAACATATGCTGAGATACCATGGAGGAGGTCTAGTGTTTTACACTGGCCTAGGGTCCAGGGGGCTCTCATCTTTGGGTTTCTGAGTCGTTATATTCCCAGGGACCTCTCTGATGAGCTGGGGCAGGGGGGGCTATAGGGAAGAGGAGAGGAAGGGAGTTACCTTGGCCAAAAGCCGATGTCCATCATTATCCAGGATGAAAACTGCTTTGACAGTGTAGAGAGATGGTTCCTGCAACTGACCCCAAGCAAAGGTAGAGTAAGCTGGCTGAGGAAGGAAGCGACCCTCAGACATATTCATCCCATTGACTGAAGAAAGGGATTGTTCAGGCTTCAAGAGATCCCTTCCATGGAGATCCACTGAGTATCTGACTCTGCAAGTCTCCTCACTGCCCCAACACTGAAATCCCCACTGACTCCTCTTTTCTGAGGCTGCTGAGTTTCCAGGCAGCTTCTACTGCCTGCCTCAGAGGCCAAGGCCTGCTGCTGGGTGACCCCTTTCCGTGCAGAAGGTCCACCCAAACCCAAGTTCTGTCATGCACTGACTGCTCCAGAGTCTAAGTCGGAGTGTATCACAGAACCTGGGCTGGGGAGACTGATGGGGGTCCTTTTCTGACCCCCCCAGCAGAACCTTCTCCCTACTGATTCCAGAGCTTCAGGGTTTGATCCAGGACTGGGATCCACTTTCCCAGAGAGCTTGGGAATGTCAATCAGATGCAGAATCCGACACATCCACAGGGCTGGGTCTCGAACTCGGCCAGAAGGAGGGGCAGCTTCCCCTTTCCCCACCCCCACCCTGCATCCCTTATCAAGCTGGCCGCCTTGCTCTTCTCTTTCGGGTTCCTAGAGTTGGCATGCCCACCTGGACCTCCCAGAGAGCAATGGGCACTCAGACTTTTTCTCAGTAGATAAGCCCAGTCGAATTGTTCACTGTGCCCACACCCTGCACCCCCATCCCGATCCTAAATCGATCTAGAATCCCAACCAAGCCCAGATCCAGAACCCTCCCCGTGAGTTTGGACCAAGAGCTCATAACTTTTTTTTCTCTCGTACCCCAGAGCCCTTTCCTTACTAGGGCTCGGGACACCACTAGCCCTCCACCCCTTCTGGCGCTGTCCCACCCCCGCGCCCCAGCCCGGAGGACGGCAGTGGCCGAAAGTTCCTGGAGCTGCGCCCTGGCCGCCGCCGCCGCCGCCGCCCCTGAGCTGGGGAAGTTTTGAGTTGGCCGCAGCTCCGAACGCTCCCGAGCGCGCAGCGTACCCGCAGCCCCGGGGGCTCCGTGGCCCCAGCGCCCTGCGCCGTTCCCCCCCGGGCTGCCGCCGCTGCCTCCGCGGCGGCCCCCTCCCCTGGGTGCGGACGTGGCCAGGCCTCGGGCCGCTGCATTCCGCTCCGCTCCGCACTGACAGCGCCGCCCGGCTCCAGCCCCGCCTCCGCCGCCCTCCCCCGCGGGGCTGGCCGGGCCCGTCCTGGCCGGAGGCGCGCGAAGCGCAGAGAGCAGACCTCAGAAAGCAGACCTCGGAGCGGAGCAGCCCCCCGAGGGAGGGGATTGCGAGCGATCCAGGGCTGGGAGGGAGGAGGGGAGGCAGGCAAGAGCCTCGCCTCGTCCTCTGCTCCCCCCCTCCCGCGACTGTCTCTCTCTCTCTCTTTCTCTGTCTCTCTGTCCCCTCTGCTTTTGATTCCCTCTTCCATGCTCTTTTTTCTTTCCTCCCTCTTCTCTCCTCTTCTCCCTTTTTTTTTTCTCTCCCCATATTCTTCTCTCTTCTCCTTTCTTTTTCTCTAACTTCCCTTTTTCCCCCTCTTCTCTCCCTGCTGGACGGGGCGTCAGGAACACCTGAGTTCAAATGTGGCCTCAGATACTTAACTAGTTGTGTGACTCTAGGCAAATTAGTTAAGCTTTGTCTACTTCAGTTTCCTCAACTGTAAAATGAGGATAATAACATTACCAACTCCCCAGGATTGTCCGGAGGACCAAACGAGATGATATTTGTAATGCACTTAGCACTTAGCAGTATGTGTCTAGCCCATATAAGGCACTTAATGAATGCTTGTTTACTTTCTTCCATTCTTCTCTTCTCCTTTCTCTTATCTCTCCTCTATTTTTTCTTCTCTCCTTTGTTGTCACTCTTTCACTTTTCTTCTCCCTTTCTTGTGTTTCTTTTCTCATTGCTGCTTTTTTCCTTCTTCTCTTTCCTTTTCAAATTCCTTTAAATTCCCTCTGGCCTACTCTCTCTTCTAGCTTGCCTAGCTCTCCTTCCGCTTTTAATCCCTTCTTCACCCTCACCTGTACTTCTTTCCCCCTCAAAGCTTTCTCATTCCCGTTTCACCTGTCTCTACCACACACACACACACACACCCACACCCACACCCACACACACACAATCAGTCAACATTTATTAAGCTTCTACTATGTGTTGGGCATTGTGCTAAGCCCTGGGGGATGCAAAAAGAGGCAAAAAAAAGTTCCTGTCCTCTTATGATCTAATGGGAGAGACCAAATATATGTATAAAACAAGCTATATACAGGATAAATAGGAAGTAACACAAGGAAGACATTAGAATTAAGAGGGATTGGAGAAGGCTTCCAGTAAAATATAAGATTTTAGTTGGGATTTAAAGGAAGCCAGTAGATCAAACAGTTGGAGCGGAGAAGGAAGAGAATTACAGGCATGGGGAACTGCCAGAAAAAATGCCCAGAGCTGAGAGATGGAGTGTCTAGTTCATGGAATAGGCAGGGGGCCAGTGTCACTGAATTAAAGAGTACTCATTGGAGACTAAGGAATAAAAAGACTGGAAGGGGCTAAGTTATAAAGGGCTTTGAATGCCAAACAGGACGTTTTGTATTTGCTCCTGGTGGCAATAGGGAGCTACTGGAGTTTATTGAGTAAGAATGTAACATGATTGGTAAAATCACTTTAGTGGCTGAATGGAGGATGGATTGGTGTGGGGAAAAGTCTTGAGGCAGGCAGACCCACCACCATATTATTGTAATAATCCGAGTGTTTGGTGATGAGGGCCTGTACTAGAGAGGTGGCAGTGTCAGTGGAGAGAAGAGAGGGTATTCAAGAGTTGCTGCAAAGGTAACATTGACAGGCCTTGGCAAAAGCTTGGATATGGAGAGTGAGAGATCCAGAATGATTTGTAGGTTGCCAGCCTGATGGACTGGGAATTGCCTTGTACAGTAATAGGAAAGGGGTGGGGTTTAGTTTAGGGGGAAAGACGATGACTTCTGTTTTGGACATACTGACTTTAAGATGTCTACTGGACATCCAGTTCCAGATGTCTGAATGGCAGTTGGAGATGTGAGATCGGAGATCAGCAGAGTTTAGGGCAGAATAGGTAGATTTAAAGAACATTAACATGGAGATAGTAATTACATCCATGGGAGTTGATGAGATCACCAAGTATAGAGGGAGAAGAGAAGAAGGCCCAGGACAGAACCCTGAGGGACATCTACAATTAAAGGGCATGATCTGTAAGATTATCCAGCAAAGGAGACAGAAGAGAAGCATTCAGATAGGTAGGATGAGATAGTAGTGTCCTGAAAACCTAGAGAAAAGACAGTATTAAGGAGGAGAGAGTGATCAACAGTGGCAAAGACTGCAGAGAGGTCAAGGAGAAAGAAGATTGAGAAAAGGTCATCCATTGGATTTGGCAACTAAGAGATCATTAGTAATTTTGGAGAGAGTAGTTTTGGTGGAATGATAAAATCAGAAGCCAGATTGTAAGGGGTTAAGTAGAGTATGAAAGGAGAGAAAGTAGGCATTTAGCTACAAAGAGAAGACATATAGGAAGATAGAGGGGATGGAAGGACAAAGTAAGGGTTTTTTCTCAGGATGAGGGGGACATGGACATGTTTATAGGCAGTAGGGAAGGAGCCAGTTGACAGGGAGAGATTGAAAATAAGTGAAAGAGTGGTGATGACAAAGGGGGCAATCTGTTGGAGGAGATGAGATGGAATGGGATCACCTGGACAAGCAGAGGGGTTGACCTTGGTAAGGAGTGAGGCCACTTCATCATATGAAACAGGGGTGAAGGAGGAGATGATAATCGAGTCATCTGAGTGATAGGAGATGAGTAAGAGGGGAGAAGAGAAAGCTCATAGCAAATGCCCTCCATTTTTTCTCACTCACACATCCTATTCATTCTTCTGGGTTTCTGATTCCCACAGGGGACTTAGAGAAAAAAGTGGGCAGAGCCTATATTTTTGGTCTAGTATCAGGAGTCCAGAAACACGAATTGTCACTTCACATGTTATCAATATCTTGCTTGAAACTGGGAAGAGACTAGTAGTCAAAAAACCCAGAAGTGATCAAATTAAATAGGGAACAACTTTTGGAGACACCTTTTGAAAGCCTTGTAAATACTTCCCATCACAGATTTAGACCAAGAATCATAAAAATCACAGGGACCCTCAAGCTTATTTAGTTCAGCCTTCTTAGTCAACTCAATTGTTTGTACTATAGCAGTAGAGAGAAACAATAACCCTCTTAAACAGGGAATAGAGACACCTTAACTCTCTGAAATAATGGAAATTTATAGTTCTTTTGGTCTGGATCTATAATTTAATTATTAAGGAACTCCAGTATGTAATGCTGGCCTTAGGGAATATCTACAATTCATTTGTGACTCGGGTTCTTTTGTATATACACAAACATATACATATATATGTATGTATGTGTGTATATACATATATATATATATATGTACAGTTTATATTATAATCATTTGCAGCTATACTCTTACTCCACCCCTTAACCCCCGGGAGCTTTTGCTTCTAACAAAAAAAAAAAAGGTTAAGCAAAGCCAAGCAACACCATAATCCAGTGTGACTACATGTACAACATTCCACACCCATAGTTTTCCACCTCTCTTACAAAAGAAGGGTGGTGGTTGTTATTGTTCAGTCATGTCCAACTCTTCCTGACCCCATTTGGGGTTTTCTTGGCAAAGATACTGGAGTGGTTTGCCGTTTCCTTCTCCAGCCCATTTTACAGAGGAGGAAATTGAGGCAAACAGGGTTAGGTGACTTGCCCAGAGCCACACTGCTAAGTAAGTGTCTGAGGACAGATTTGAACTCAAGAAAATGAGTTCACTCATCCACTCTATCCACTCAGCTAGAAGGGTTATACTTTTCCTCATCTTTTCTTCAGGCCCATGATCGATCATGATAATTACTCAATGTACTGATTCATAGAACTTATATTCTTGGAGAGTTGCCTAGGACACAGAGAGGTTAAATGAATTGCCCATAATCATGTAGCTTGTATGTGTCAAGGACAGGATCTGAGGCCAGGTTTTCCTCAAGTTGTCAAGTCAAAAATCATTTATTAAGCAATTACAAAGTGCCTGACCTGTGGTAGAGCACTGTGAACTCGATCTGATCAACCACTGTCAGACTCACTGTACCTTGACCCCAACATAGTGGTGTCATTTGGGTTCTTTTTGAGAACAAAGGACAACAACCAACCAAATAAGTAAGTGACTGAGTGAGGAGCTAATGTGTAAACAACAAGATATATAGACATATATAGATATCTATCTATATATGTCTACATATCTATATGAGAGGAAAGAGAGGGAAGGAGAAGAGAGAGACAGAGACAGAGACAGAGATAGAGAGGCACAGAGAGAGAAAATTTAAGGTAATATCAGAGGGAGGGCTCTAACAATTGGGAATGGGGGGAAGGCAGTGAGAGGTCTCTTGTAGAAGGTTGGAATTGGAGATGAGTTTTGAAGGAAGCCAGGAAAGCCAGGAGGCTGAGACAAGGAGGAAGGGCATTCCTGGCGTGGAGGACAGCCAAAAAAGGACAGAGATGAGAAACTGAGAGTAGTGTTTGAGGGACAAGAAGGGCAGTGTTGCTGAATCACAGAATACTCAGAGGGGAATAGAAGTAAAAGAAACTGAAAAGATAAGAAGAGGCAAGATTGTGAAGGATTTTAAAAGCCAAATGGCATTTTACATGTAATTCCAATCCCAAAGCCCATCAGTATGGATACAGATAAATGTCCTCTGTGTCTGTGAAGAAGGGAGGAGATGGAGTGAAGGAGGGTGTCTGTGAGTTGACCAGAGTGAAAGAGGAGATCTCTTCAGTTTTAATTTGGATCTTCTTTGAGTCCTTTTGGGTGTTTCTGGCTTCCATCCTGGAGACAGAATATGGAAGAGGCCAAGCCCACTTCAAGTTGCTGAAGGAAAAGAATCTGGGAAGATGTGAGTGGATCTGACAGTCTCCATCAGGTCCCCATCCCCAGCTTGCTATTCTGTTGTTGTTGTTTGTCCTTTGTTTTCTAAGAGGACCAATGACATCACAGGGTGATGTCTTGACTTGCAGGTGGATTGGATTTAAGTGAGGTCGAGTTGCACAAAGTTGTCAGCCTCGCTCTTT